GGTAAGGAAAAACGTTTTAGCTTTGGATTGCCTTTGGATTCCTTCTGCGAGTTGTGTTGAAGCAAGATTATAAGGGCTATATGACTCCTGTCCTTGTCCTAGAAAGTTAGCCAGTCAGTGTAGACAATTCCTGAGCTTAGATTGATCAATATAAGAAGTACGGTATCTTTGCGTACATCCTTCTGTCTGACCAGAAGTATGTGGATTAAGTTTCAAAGTAGGTTAGATTGTCTTTAATACACACAGAGGTGTTTTTCTTGTTGTTTTTGACCCCATTTTAAATGTGTGTTTTTCTCACAGTTTGGATCTGGGTAGATTAGAAGTCCATTTTGTTGCAATTTTGCAGATGTTTGCAACCAAGATTTGGGGAGGGGGGAAGAGGGTTGACAGATGTAGGTCTGTTTCTTCACTTTCTCATCCCTAAAGACACGAGCAAGATCACTGGGTGCCACCAGTTCATGTTTCAACTGTGACTCACAAAGGCTAACAATTCATCATGGGTTCCTTTGCCGCCCTATTTTTGGTCTGTTTTCGGCACACAGCCTCCGTGAAAACTCCCAGGTGTTCTCAGTCTGAGCAAAGCAAACGTGCAAGGATTGCCCTGAACAGAGCAAACGTGCTCATTAAAAACAATTTCTGGAAAAGGGCAAAGACAACTCGTGGTTTCAGCTTCTCTTTGCTATAACCTCGAGAAGTACAAATAAACCTGAGAATGATGAACATTATTATGTCACCAATGATACTAAGGGTGAACTTGAGACAAGCTAAAGAATTATGGATGATATTAATTGTATATTTGAAACAGCCTTCCCAGGTTTCATTAGTCACAACAGATATTTCACAGGCTGGTTCTGTGCCAGCAGTTAGGACAATTGCATTTACCAATGATTGCTAATGAATCAAATAAACGTTAATATTGGACACTTGCATCATTGTGGGATTGCCATGTTTCAGTTAAATTCAAAGACTTCCAGTATATAACAATTTGTGTTGCTTTATCACCTGCTAGGGTGATTAAATGCAAAACATGACAGTGTTTCTATAAAGCTATATACCTTGTCATTTGGAAATCATGCAGCAGTAACACAGACAGACATGCACAAAGTGTGACTGATAAGATACTCCTTTCTCCATAATTATGAATATACTCCTTTATAGAAACCCCAAAGAAACGGGAAATGTATAGATGCAATAGTTTTAGAAATAATGCTTCCCATTACATGCTACAGTGTTAGAAAAGTAACCTGTTGCTATTAACTCATTACAGTTGTGAAAACAAGTAACTCATGACACCACTTCACACTCTACTTATTACTTTTCTGTGACTCTTTAAAGGTGGGAACTCTTAGAATTGATAAGAGAGTTTCATAAAACTTGAAAAAAGACCTGTAAAATGCCCTTTAAAAGTACTGTTGGATAGTAATTAGGAAATTTTACTCATTCTATCAACAAAGTAATCTTGCTCTTACCCATTATGTTGTTTGAAATGTGGCTTTATTATCCCTTGCTACAGTAAAAGTAACTAGTTACACATGCCTGTATTACGAGTAACTCATTACTTCCAATTGTGAAAACTTTCTCTTGCTTTCTCTCTCTCTCTCTTACGCTCTTTTGCATCTTGTCATTCTGTTGCACAATATTTATTCCCCCCCCCTTAGCCTTGCCCTATAACACTCATGTAATGAAAGAGTGTCTCACCATGGAACAGCATGTAGATTCTTGTATAAGATGAGAAAAGAGATTGACAGTATGAATTTGGTATCTTTGATAAATGAAAGGGAGATTGATCCCTTTATGTCTCTCAAATGTCATTCTTGACAAACTTTCTAAGCCTGGGGTGGGAAACTGCACAGAGGTTGAAGGTATCTCCCCTTACAGGCAGGGCACATAGGCTTTCTTTGAGGAAGCAGAAATGGTGACATTAAACTTTTGTCTTTAACTTTGGCTGCAAGTCAGCCATTTTTGTTTAATTTCCACAGGGGCAGTGAAGAGTTAACTGCCACATTTTCAGTCAGTTTGTTTGGACATTTGTGAGGCAAAACAAACATACAAAAAACAACAATCCTAAATTTTAAAAGGTGGGGCTTGGGTGCATCCTGGAGGTCTTCAGGGCTGTAGAAAAGGGGAAAGGGGGTTTGAACTATCAAGGTTCCCTGGAAGTAGAGCTTGGGAACAGTTACTTTTTTGGACGTTACTGGCTGTGCTGGGGGTAAAGAGGATATTGAAGTTCTATAGTCCACTTTTTGCCAAGCAGTGCAACCACAGAAAGCCAGAGCAGGATCACTGCTGCCGAACAGCATAGCCAGAGGGCCAGAGCAGGGCTGGCAGGGAGTCTGGCTGGAGACACAGTGCTGCTGCTGCCAGATCACCATCTCCACTGCTCCTGACTCTGGGCCAATCATTAGTCATGCCAAAATAGGATCTGGAAAACATTCCAACAGAATTTAAAGAAAGTGTGAAAAACAGATTTGCACTATTAAGTCTAGTTGATTGGGAATGAGATTCATTAGAAAAGACAATGATGCTAGGAAAGGTAAATAAATATATATAAAAGGAATAGATCAAACTGTTAAAGGATATAGGGAAAGGAAGGAAGGAAGGAAATGGAAAAAGTGAAAGAAGGCAAGAAAACAAGAATGAAAACTTCACAGGGAGAAGAAATCAAGGAGATATTGAGAAAGGAGATGGACTATGCTGTGTAATAGTGTATACAATGATATGACATGTAAGAATGGAAATATTGGTGGGGGAAATTGCTGAATAAAGATAAATTCAAGAAGAAGAGGAGGAGGAGGAGGAGGAGGAGGAGGAGGAGGAGACAATGATGCTACGAAAGGTAGAGGACAGTAGAAAGAGAGGTAGACCACATGCTAGAAGGTTGAACTCAATGAGAAAGGCCACGGGCCAGAGTCTGCAAGTCCCATGCAGAGAGCTTGAGGACAGAGGGGCTTGGAGGTGTCTCACTCATGGGGTGCCATGAGTCAAAGTGAACTTGAGAGCAGTTTACTACAGCAACAAAGAACAGGATACACATCCCCCACCTCGCCCTGTATTTGTTGGGTTAAATTTCCCCTCCCTTGTCCTAACCGAAAAAA